ATTTTTTCTGTTTTTCTTCTTTTCTCTTTCTTTTTGATTTAAATTTTCTCCGTTCCTCCAAAAATTCGAATTATCTTCTTCCCTACTTCTTTTCTCATCTTTCTGATTTATTTTATTTTTTTTTATTTATTTTAAAAATTCGAATTTTTCTGCGGCACCCTAAAATCTGATTAGGACTTAGCCATTCTTGCTTTTGACACACATTTTGACCCCGTGGGGGTAACGAAGTGCTGCCGAAATTTGTGAAAAATCCAAAACTTGGTTAGTTTATCTTCACTCTCCTCCACCTCCTTATTTATTTATCTATTTATTTATTTATTTACTTAATTTTTTGAAAATTTTAATTTGCGGCATTGTAAAAATTAGTGTGCTTCTCTTAGTCTCTCCTTTCTTTTTGCACATTTTGACCCCGTCGGGGTAAGAAAATGCTGCCGAAATTTTCAAAAAAATAAATAAGTCCTCTTCCCTCGCTCTTTACATTTCATTTCTTTATTTATTTTTATTTCTTCTTTTATTTTATTTTTATCTCGAAATTTTATTGTTTATTCTATTTTCTTCCCCCCTCCCCTCCATATTATCTTTTTTCTTGATTAGGTCGCCGTTACCCTCCCGTAACCACCTAAACTCCGGTTAGGTTTTTCTTAGGGTTTTATAGGGTTTAAGGTTCTCCTAACTCCCACCCCCCTTCCTACTCTCCCGCCTCCTCCCGTCGGGCACCCTGGACCTGGACGGCTCCTCCCCCCTCGAGCGGTTCGTTGCCTTCGTCTCACGCGCGACCCGCAAAATCCGAGGCAAACCGACTCACACATACTCACTCCGCTCCCGCGGTCCCCTTCCTCTTACCGGTGGGCCCCTTTCCCCACACACTCCTCTGAGGACTACCTCCATTCCCCTTCCAGCCATGGAAGGGAGTTCATCCGAGGACATCGCCGCGGCGCAGTCCACACCCCAGGTGAGCGCGCCGTCAGCGGCTCATGATCAGGCCCATGTGGACACGACGGACCTTCATGCCGTCCTTATAGCAATCTAGACACAACTTAGTATGCTTGGACCGTTGCAAGCGCAAATCAATGCGCTAGCCCTCGACGTCAACCGCCTCAAGGGCTCCCCTCATCGCTCTCTCCACCGCTCTCACACCCCTTCTTCTACCGGTTCCGATTCCGGCTCCCCAGGACTTCAGAGACGGAGTGACCATGGTTCCCCCACCTCTGCCCCTGCAGCGGCTTCGACTTACGCTGCTGCAATGCACTCGCCTCGATCTCTCTTCCCCCGCCATCAGCACAATGGACATCCTCCTGTGCGCACCACGGACATTCCCGAGTATGATGGCATATCCCGTGTCTCTCGTTGGTTGCAAATAGCAACGCGTACGCTCTCTATGACGACCACCGGTCAGGAGCTGTGGTGCGATGTGCTCGCAACCAAATTGTGAGGTAGCCTCATTGCGTGGGAGGATCATTATACCCAGCGCCTCCGCGTAGGTGAGGTCCCCACTTTGGCCGACTTCGCGACCTTCCTTCAGGACCGGTTCGGCGCTCGTCATGACGCCACCGACGCCTTAGACCGCGTCACCCAGACCAGATGGTTCGGGTCCTCTGTACCGGCCGACCTGGAGCGTCACATCCGGGTGTTTCAGGACGCTCGCCTTGTTTGTGACGAGACGTTCCTACCGGAGGTCACACTCACYGACCGGTTCCTTGTCAGCCTGCCGACTGACTACCGCCTAGAGCTATGGAGGCGATCATTCTCTTTCGCAGAGCAGGCATACGAGGCTGCGCGTCAGTACCAGAGGATGTGCAGTCGCTTCTTCGTCGCCCCATCCTCTTCGCGGCCAGCCGCCACCTCCCAGTCTCGGGGTACCACCTGAGGCCGCTCCTCGTTTGTCGGTCGTTTTCGTCGCCCGACTCGACCTGGAGCGCCATTCGCTCGGCACTACAGTTCTCTCGAGTATGGAGAGGACGCCTCAGCCGAGCTCGATCCTACCATTGGGGACGCCCCCGAGGACATCGAGCTTCGGGACGTCATCTAGTACCACTTGGATGACAACACTGTCCCAATGGTCGAGCGCCTGCAGATGACCATGTCTGCCATGGGTCGTGCACGCAGTCGGGTTGCACAGGCTGGCGCCCGCACACCCACAGTTCCTCAGATAGACCTCCCGCAGGGTTTTGTCCCTCCTCGCAGAGCTCTATCCCCCGAGGAGCATGCCGCCCTCGAGCCTCGACGAGGCTGCCTTTGTTGCCGCCAGGATGGACACACCTCCTCACGGTGTCCATGCCACACCGCCCTCGATCGGTACTGCGCTGACATTTCTCATCAGCGCCGATCTCAGTCCCCCCCCGGCCCCGCTCGGCCAGCCCCACCCAGCTAGCCACGGTGCAGTGTACCCCTGAGGCCTCGCACGTAGCCGGCTTCCCGACCACCGAGTCACGGTTTGCCCCTTTGGCTACCCCACCAGAGGACCCTCAGGATACGACAGACGCAGTTCTCTCTGCCCCGTCGTCTGTCGAGGTACTGTCTGCCTCCCCGCAGACCGCCACATTTAGCGCTTCTCCCCCGAGACTTCCGACGCGTCGCGCCATTCGCACAGCCCGTTGTAGCACTCAGCTGGCAACTCGCGATGACGTTGTGTCATCTCTCCTCGACTTGAGCATTCTGCAGGCTCGTCAGGAGCGACTCACGAGGCACGTCAACGTCCTGCGTCGTCTTCTTGCTCTGCTCTCTGACCCTGATCGCACCCTACCCATCATCCCTATTCGCCTAGGGACATCTACGAGGGTGTACCGCGCTTTATGGGACTCTGGCTCGCAGGGAGATTTCGTTCACCCTCGAGTGGTTGAGGAAGCTCGCCTAGCTACCTCTGGGTCTCGCTCTCCTATCTCCGTTACCCTCGGAGATAACAAGACGCAACGCTTCTTCGATCAGACGGTCCCCGACCTCCACTTCTCCCTCACCCTCCAACCATCGGATAGTACCCAGACGCCTAGGCGCTACCATTCCTCCGCATACTTCGACGTGCTGGAGACTGGGTACGACTTTATCCTTGGCACTCCCTGGTCTCGCGGGCTCCGCAGCACAGAGGCCGAATGGGCGACCGAGACACTCGTTCTTAAAACGAAGTGTGGTCAGACCCATCGCGTCCTGCTCATTGGAACCACGGGCGAAACCCCACACGACCTACTTCCCCAGGACCCTCGTCCCTCAGGGTCCCACCCTAACATCGCGTTCACTTCCCCTCGTCAGTTTGCTCACTTCATACGACAGGAGGACGTCACGTTCTACTCAGTGAACGTCATGGATCTTCTTCGCTACGATCCACTCTGTCCCGTGGTTGAGCTAATCTCTCTGGAGCCCGATCCCCCTGACCCTCCTTCCATCTTCGCGGCTCCCATCTCTACATCCATTCGTCAGCCTGCGGATACCCCCTCCACGTCTCAGGCCCCTGCGCCGTCGACTGTCGAGTCCACACATACGTCTCGTGCTGACGCAGACGCTGAGGAACTCACACGGTTCACGACAGACTTAGAGCCGGCCGTTCGCGACCTGATTCGAGAGTACCGCGACGTCTTTCCCCCGTATTTCTCATACAGCGGGATTCCCCCGATGCGCGGTGTTGAGCATTCTATCCAGCTCGTGCCTGACTATCGTGTTCACCATCCGGCACCGTACCGACTCTCCATCCCAGAGGCGACGGAATTCAAGCGTCAGCTTGAGGAGCTCTTTCGACTGGGTTTCATTAAACCCAGTAACTCCCCTTGGGGTGCACCTGTCCTCTTTGCTCGCAAAGCGGACGGAACTCTCCGCCTCTGCATCGACTATCGCGGCCTTAACCGTTACACGGTTAAGAACAGCTATCCCATGCCCCGCGCGGATGAGCTGTTTGACCGTCTGGCAGGCAACCGCTTCTTCATGAAGATTGATCTTTGTAGCGGTTACCACCAGATCCGCGTTGTCACAGAGGATCAGCCGAAAACCGCCTTCCGATCGCGCTTCGGCCACTACGAGTTCACGGTGATGCCGTTCGGCCTCACCAATGCACCCGCCACCT